CCAAAGCCCTGCACACGAGTCCCTATTAACCACGAAATCTGGAGCAAGGCTTTTAAGCTCTCTAAGTTTCAATTTCCTCCTTTGTCCAATGGGCATAAAGTTGTCTATTGAGCCAGGTCATCCTGAGGATTAAGTGAGATGGGGAATAGAAAGGGCTTAGCACAGTGTGAGGCACAAAAAAAGCAGTGTTTTTCCTCTCCTCAAGAGGCCTGACCTCCTTTCAGCCTCCTCGTCTCGGACACTCCTTCCAGCAGCACTGGACAACCCACTTCTCCCTGAAGCGGGCCTTCGACTTGCACTCCTCCGGGGCACTGCTTATCAATACTTCCCTCTACCTCCAATATTCCCAGTGTGCCCTGTGCTACGCTTTCTTGAGCCTCAGTTCTATTCTGCTTCCCAGTAACTGGTTCAGCCTTCCCTAGCCTTCCCCGTTGCCTACTTAGGCGTCTGCGTCAATAAGGGACACAGAACACGAGTTCCTTGAGGAAAGGCGTTTTTCTGCGTAGCAGGTGGCAAAAGTCCTCCCCCTTCTTGTCCGGCCTGTTTCCTTGTTTGGAATGAGCCCAGTGGACTGGAATGGCTGAAAGGGCCCTAATAGCTCTAAGACCTTAAACTGACAGCACTTTAAACAGCAGGGATCTTGTGGATTACCTGGTCCACCCTCTCCTTTCCCAGAAGGGGAAGCTGAGAGCACAGGAGGGCCTTCACTTAATGCTATTCTCTCTCTGACCTCCGGGGCAAGGCTGCGCAGAGGGCATAGAGCCCTGTTTCCCTAAGTAGGCAAGGGGGGACTTTCAGACGTCTCCAGGGCTCAGGACGCCGGAAACACGTGTGTGCTCACCTACGTGTACACACGTGAGCACACCTACAGCAGCAGGGGGCGCTCGGGCCGGCAGGGGGCAGCATAGACGCGGTTTGCAATTACCGGGCGCAGCCCCCGGGGAGGAGGGCGTGCTGCAGTCCCGGCGGCGGTGGTGGTGGTGGCAGCTGGAGGTGCAGTCTCCCAGGTGGGAGGCGGGGGCTGCGGGCGCAGGAAAAGGCGCCTGGGGAGCGGGTGCTCAGCTGGGCCTCCTCCGGTACCGGGCGCGGCGAGGCGAGGGGGAGTGAGCGCGCTGGGAGCACGCAGGCGCCCTGCTCCGGCTGGCCCTCGGCCGAAGCGCGGCGCGGGAGCAGCCCGCAGCCCGCCCCCACGCCCCCGGCAGCCCCGGACCCCCGCGGCCGGCCGTCGGGAGCGATCCCTCAGCAAGCGCAGGCCGCCGGCTCCGGAGAGCGCGCAGCGGCGACCGCGGGACGGCTTCGGGGCTGCCCGGAGCGCATCCTCCTGCCCTCGGCTACTCGCAGCCGGTGCTGGCCCGGCCGGCGCACCCCGCAGGCAGCCGGAGCGCGGCCTTGGCCTCGGCCTAGGCGGGAGCGAGACCCGGGCCGCAGCCCGCGGGCGGTGGCGCGGGCGGCTGCGGGCACTGACGGCGTCGCGGGGTGCTCCCGGGCGGCGGCGCAGCGGCGGCGGCGCAAGGGGCGGAGGCAGGGGGCGCCCCCAGCCAGGATGCTGCGGTTCCTACGCCGGACCTTTGGCCGCCGCTCGATGCAGCTCTACGCTCGGGGAGCTGCAGGGCGCGGAGCCGCCGGGCTGGGGGACGAGCGCGACGGGGGGCCGCGGGGGGGGCCAGCCGGCGCCTCCTCGCCGCTGCCCGCCGCTCCCGGGGGCAGCGTGTTCCCGGCCGGCGGAGGGCCCCTGCTCACCGGCGGCGCGGCCGTGCACATCTCCGCCGCCGGAGCCGCCAAGGCCACGCTCTACTGCCGCGTCTTTCTGCTGGACGGGACCGAAGTGAGCGTCGACCTGCCGGTGAGTGACGAGGCGGGACCAGTCCAGGGAACTGGCACCCCGCGACCCTTGGGTTACCAACCCTCCTATGTTTCTCTCTGGGGCGCTCCCCTTGTACCTTTCTGAGGATCCCCTCCCCCTTCTTCTAAGAGCACTCCTTAACCCTGTTCCCTCTCGAGTCACCCGCCCGGTCTTTTGGGGCCCCATCCCTGGCCGGAGCCCCCTCCTTGGCAGGTTGCGGTGCTGTGTTACACCTTCTCTGTCTCCCACCTCGTCCTTTGGGCCTCACCCCCTTCCTAGCGCACCCACTCCCCGAGTCTCGAGTTCCCGCCCCTAGGCGCTGGTGACAGGTGTTCCCTTGCGCCCCCCAGATTCCAGCCGGGGCCTTCTTGGTGCTGGGTTATTGGTTAGAAAATGTCAAAGCAATGCGGGGCTGCCGTGTCCTGGCCCGCTTGTCCTCCACCCACGAAAGTCGCCACCAAACCTTGATGAGATAGCAGGGAGGAGAATCCCCCACGCTTGCTGCCTGGCAGGTGCCCAACTGTGTGAGGGACTCAGGGGACCATTTTCGTTCTCTCCTCATCCCCTCTCCGTGTTCCAACTCCCCAGCCCCCATCCCAGTGAACCCCTCTGGTTCACGTACTCGCAGGTGGTTGGGCGACTTGGGAACTAACTCTAGAATCGACTCTCTGGGACCTGGACAACTTTGAGCCTGCGGAGTCCTTGCTGGGCGGCCTGGCGCGCTGGACTTTACCCGGGTCTACGTGCTTGCGGCCTCCGAGGCACCCCGGGGTGGCGGCGTCGCCTGGGCTTGAGTCCCCGGCCACCCACCCACAGGTGGTTGCACCCTGCCCCGCTCCGGAAGAGAGCTAGGCCAGCACTGCTGTCCCTGCCAGGGCATGCAGCTACCAACGCCTCTTTCTAGCCTCTAGGCGTCTTTCTAGCCTAGGGGCCAGATCTGATCAAATCAACTCCGCACATAATGGGGCGCCTACTGTGCACCCGGAGCTGCGGCAGACGGTGCTTTTGGGAATCTGGGTGTGACTGACACAGCAGTGATTGAGCTTTAGGTGAATGTTACAGGTCTACTCCGGGTTTCAAGGGGAGCCGGGGGAGGGGGGCTAGGGGGGTCACGCGGGGGAGGGGTCAGGCGGGGGGGGGGGGGGGTGCATTAATATTCCCAGACTTCCAAAAAAAAAAAAAGAAAGAAAAACACCATTTAGGCCCTGGGGTGAGAGAAATTCATTGGACTTCACCGGAGAACTAGGAACATACAAGGGTTTGAGATGAGAAAATCAGAGCCTGTCTGGCCTGGGGTTTAATGCGTCCCTGTGTAGGTTTAATTTCGAGACAATTTCAATTTGTGACAATTTTATTTTTTGTGGCTCTTAGTGCTCTCCATAGGATATCATTTTGTTATGATAATACCCTTTTGGGGATTTTTTATTCATGGAAAAGGAGCCAACATTCCCGTGCTTTAGAGCTGTTGTCTAAAATAGCATTAAAATGCTGCTGCTGCTGCCCAAGATTGAAGCTCTATAGTTTTTATTTAGCTGGGAGAGGAGGCCTGAAGAGCCGGGAGAAGTGCAGAGGGGGGGCAGACTGCCTCTGGAGTGGGCAGCTTGTGTGAGGAGAGGATGTGGCGTATTTTGCATCTCGGATCTGGGAAAGGAATGCGCTCTTTGGGGACTTTGACAGTGCTCCTTGCTGATGGGTTGTTGTTTTTTTTTCCTCTGTTCCCTGGGGATGGATGGTTCATTTATAAAATGCATCGCTTCTGTCAGGTTTGTGGTACAGGCTTAAGTGGTGTTTCTTGGGTGAAAAATGCAAGCTGAGTCAAGTGCGTGCATGGTGCGGAGACACAAACAGGTACTCAAACAAGCAGGGCAGGGCAGGAATGCTGACCTATTCCAGCTTGGGGAGCCCTTGGGTGGGGGGGGGGCAGGCAGCCTGCAAGCTTTCTTTACTTTATAAAATGCTACTTGATAAAATAATTCACCAGGTTTTTTTTATGATGGCAGATACTTTGATATTTTAATAAGATGTGATTTAGTGAACCCCAAATTTTATTTACACATACACACACAGAATCTCTGTCCAGGAGCGAATAAAAAGCAAATGCTGGCCTTTGTCATGGGAGCCCTCAGGGAGGAAAGAGGAAGCAAAGCCACTGGTGAGCCCGGATGTAGAGATCGGGAAGGTGTCACAGCTTCATCAGTCTTCCCCACGGCCTTCCTACATCAGAGTTTTAGTTCTCGTCATTCTCCAGGGTCACAGGGTCAGGGCCAGGCAGCCAGCTCCCCGTGGACTCGTGTGGCATGTGGGCTCCTGCCTCAGACCCGTCTCACCAGACTCCCTCTGTGTGCCGTCCTTGTTGGCAGCTGGCCCTCTTGTCGTTAGTCTCCTGGACTTTTACCGCTTCCTGGTCTCTGCTGTCGCTTGGCTACCTGTCGCACAGATGGGATTTACCTTTGGCCTGTGTACCACTAAGCTGGATTTTCTGTCCCCAGCCACTTCCACAGCACTTGCCGAGCTAACTATGGCTCCTTTGTAATTAAAACCCTCCCGTGGTGTTTGCCTCAGTCTTTGGTAAGCACACGAAAAGTGGTTACACATCGTCATAAGCCACTTTGGTTTTTAGCTCTCCTGTTCTGAACTCCTGTTCTGAAACCGCCTCGTCCGGTCAGCATTTATTGGGTGTCTCTGATGTGCTGAGCGCTGTGGACAGAAAGGTGAATGAGAGGTGGCCTTGGGGCTCTTGGGAAACATGTCATCTTACTCTGAGTGATGCTAGGTGATCTGTCGGGCTCATCGGACAGTGTGCTGGGGATGCACAGCCTGGGGGAATTGGGAGGACTTCCTGGAGACTTTGACATTTGAGATGATAGGATCTCAAATCCAGTGTCCCTTGTGCATTTGTAGAATAGCTAGTGTGTCACATGAACTTCTTGGCCAAGCCACAGCCCAGTAGTCTTGTCCAACAAGGGCAGAAGCAGCTGCACTTGTCTTCCCCAGTGACCCTCTCCAGCAGCGCCCGGAGCCCCCTTGTCTGGGGGTGGGCTGCATCCCCTAGCACCCTTGCTCTGGCTACTGGTGGTTTCTCAGTGCTTGATAAAATGTGAATTAAAGGATCTTTTTTTAAGTCCATGTATAACGTGCAGTCTAACGTGGGTTGGCTTAACAAACCAGTTTCCAAGGGAGTCCTTGGCTTCCTGTACCAACCAACTGCCACCCTGAGACATTCCTCTTCAGAAAACCTGGGCTTGCCTTAAAGGTGCTTCTCCTTGGTTTGCCCAGCCCTCAGGAGTGGTCTGGTCAGAGCAGGGCAGGACTGCCCTGGCCTGCTCCAGACACTTTCCTTCTACTAATGCAGCCGAAGATCCCATTCGTGTGCTTGGCAGCGGCACCCACTGTTGACTCATATTAGCTCTGTGTTGACTAAATCCCTGGCATCGCTCTTGCTCGTGCGGCTGTTGCTCAGCCCCGTCTCCCCACTCCCCTGCGTGCACAGTCTCCCGGCAGCTCCGTGCGCAAAGCTGCTCGGATGTGTGGTTGGCTGGTTCGCACTCCCACTCTGCCTCAGAGGGCACGGCTTTGTTGGCCAGTAGTACAGTCGGCACAATTGGTTTCATTGTCTCTGGAACTCCACGCTGACGTGCGGTGGTGCCGTGCAAACATGGCAAGTTTCAGGGTGAGCAGAGCCGTGGTTGAGTCTTGCCGGTTGCCTGGGCAGCCTTGGGCAGCTTAAGCTCTCTGAGCCTGGATTTTCTGGTCCTTAAAATGGGGATGTTGGGAGGCTTGTATGACAAGAAGGGTACAGATAGCCTCAGTATAATGGCAGGATGCTGAAGGGTTGCTGGCAGCTCATAGCCTTACGCCAACACACCTCCTCTTTGGCCCGTGGAGAAGGCTTGGACAAATTTGTGGTAGTGAACACCATGCTGCGCCAGGACAGTTAAACATGGCTGGGCTCTCCTTTATTGGAAATTGGAAGTTAGATGTCATATGAGAGGTGGTCTTTAAAAGTTTCACTTTGGATGAGAAAAGTGTACAACCCCTCCCCACCCCCCACCCTCAACAGAGAAATGCAAGACCTGAGGATTTCACAACTGGAACCTCTGATCCAACAAAACTTACATGTGGTAACACAGAGATCATATGCCTGTTTGGGAGTCCAAAGGGACCCTAGGCAGCAGGTGTCCCGCCCACTGTGCAGATGGGAAACTGAGGCCTGTGAGTATAAAGTGACTTACCTGCAGTTACTCAGTGAAGAGTTGGAATGGGCTGCTTTGGAAACCCCGACTGTGTCGCCTTTGGAGGTGAGCGCAGGAACAGTGGTAGGAAAGCACTGGGACCCCCCAGACCTAACATGGGATCATGGCAGTGGGGCGGATAGATTCCTGGAAGTTGCAAGCAGGACTCAGTCCCCTAAACCATGGGACACTCCAGCAAAATGGCTCTCTAACGTCAGTGGACACAAAGTTCATCTGGGATTTTCTTTGCTCTGGTTAAAATCCTCAGAATTTCTGATTCAGCAGTTCAGAAAGCTGGACTTTTTTTTAAACAACGACCCCGAGTGGTTCTGACAAAGGCGTTTTTCTGATGAAAACCACTGGCTGCCCCATGCACTCAAACCTGCCTGGGCGGGGCTGGCGGCAGTGGGTGGAACTCGGGCTGGGGGAGGCACTGGCGACCGATGATGCTGTTGCAATAGACCAGGTGCCTGGCGAGGAGGGCCTGGCCAGGACAGGGGCAGAGTGCCAGAGCAGTTCGCAGGTGGAGTCAAGTGTGTGGGGGAGAGGAGGGGGCAGGCGTATTGGAGTCTAGCTTGGAGGGCAAGGGTAGCCTCACACTGGTTCTTGCACAGGGACTTAGAAAAAAAATTCACAGAATTTTTGTGCATAACCACAGAACTGCTGCACCCACCCGTTGTCCTCCCCAGGGCCTGGCTCCCTGCCTGCGTCCTCCATCCACTCCGCCTGGATGGAGCGGTCCTTGGGCCGGAGCCTGGTCGACTTCCCTCCTCCGGCCCTTCATCCCTCTTGGTGTTTTTTTCAGGTTGGCGTGTGCTTTCCTCCCTCCCTTTCATTTCACACTAGGACATGTTTCCAGCAGAACGATTAGAAAGTGTAGAGCAGCAAGAGAAGTTAAAACATCCCCTAAAAATCTCATCAGAGATGACCACTGTTAAATTGTGGTGTGCATCCATCTGTGCCTTTTCCTTCTGTTTTTAGGTATAAATATGCATTTAAAATGGTGAATTTATATGGGTTGATGAACGTCCCTTCCCCCACTTCAGCACAGTTGGGTAGGAACTGTATGCAGACCCCGATTTTGTGTCTCTTTGGGCTGGGTCCTCACCATCACCCCCCTTTCACATTCTCTGGGACCCTTAGCTGGGGTGGGGCACCCCCAGTGGCCACCTGAGCTGTGTGCCACCTGCTGCCCTGCTGGGTGAGAAGCAAGCTCCCCATCCGTGGGGTCCCTCCCCACAATCACCTCTGCTTTTTGGCACATTAAAGGTCCTGCTACTGTGGCCTTTAGAGGCCACACAGAGTCCCCTTGCATCCCAGGGCTTGTGTCTGAACACGTGATTTGGGGTGGTGCCCACTCTGGTGCTCGCCCAGGGCTGTCCATGCTCTGTCGCCAGCCACAGCTGGTCTGGCAGAGGTGGGCTGTAGCCTCGCAGTGTTGCAGCCTCTCAGGTGTGCCCCCTCTGCCCTAATTCCCTCCTGGAGCCTCTGGCTTCTCTCTAGAGCTGGATGTAGCTCACTGGTTTCTTTTTCAGTGTTGCCCCCCGTGTTTCTGTTTGCCCACCATCTATTCTCTTCCGTCAGCGAAGGCTTCCTGAGCACCTGGGCTGCAGCGACTACTGCTGAGGGAGTCAGGAAGGACGAGGTAGTTCCCATCTAGAAGGGCAGACAGTGTGAATGGATACCTTGTCACCCCACATGACAGCATAGTGCAGGGGCGAGCAACTGAATGCAGAGTGGCAATGGGGCAGGTTTGATGCCCAAAGTGACATCAGGTCATTCCAGAGAGGAGTTCAGCTGTTAGATTTTCTGTGATGGGAAGGTGTGGGGGCCCAGCAGGTGCAAATAATGCATGGAGCACGGCAGCCAGAGAAGCCCCTTCCCCAGCGCTGGCTCCTCAGGGTAGGGGAGGATGATGCACCCTGGCTGTGACCCTGAATTTTGAAGTATGAATGAGGAAACTTTGAAGAGTTTCAAAGAACAGGGGTGTCTTGAGCACTTAGGAAGGGCCAAGGCTCACTGAGCATTTTGCCCGGTATTGTGCTGAGTGTTTCAATGACTGTCTTGTGGAATCCTTACAAAAACTCCTATTGTCATCCCTGATTTGTGTCAGAGAGAATCGGTTTAGCAGCCAGGTTAAGGCACTTGCCCATGCCACATGGCTACTAAAGGCACTCCAGCTTCAAGCACAGACCATCTGGCTGGAGGAGATTTGTGATCTGGGAGGGTCCTCCTGCTGTCAGAGGGGCGAAGGGGGCTGAACCTGCCTCCCCACCCCCACTCCCCTCCCAGTTGGATGGGGCCCTGGGGTCCCGAGCCTCAGAGTGTGGGTTCTCCCAGAGTGCATTCTGCTTGTGATGGCCATGATCTGTCAACAGTGTGGTCAGGAGTAGACTGTGTTTTTAAAAAGTGCTTAAACAGAACCACATTAAAATTATCAGAGAGAAAAGCGTTGTACATATTCCCATTCTGCTGCATAACAAGTAGTTGGTTTCACTTTGTTCCCTTAAATCTTGGTGCTTTTGTATGTATTTGTAAACATGGTGTATCTTCTCCCCCCCATCCAAGCCTTCCTGACATACTTCTCGCCAGTGTGTTGCCTCTCTTTGCTTGTTGTGCTTATTCCGAATTACTTAGATTCACCCCTCATTCTGTGTGTGAGTGTGTGTGTGTGCGCGCACACACGACATGACTAATATCTATCTCTATTTGTCTCTTGGGCTTGGAGGTTGATAGCAAAGCCCCTGGTGTCTTACCTGCTGGCAGTCCTGCCCCCAAGGCTGGGCGAATCTGTGTGTCTCTTCCCTTAATTGCCACGTCTGGGAAGGCCTTGTTGTCCTCTTTGTGCATGGTCTCGCAGGTGGCCTTGGGCCACACAGCCAGTTAGTTAAGTGCGCTGGAGCCGGAGTGCAGTGTAGGTCCCTGACTCATCTTCCCGGGCTCCTCCCCGCAGCCTTGCTGTGCACACCCCACCCGCCTAACCGTGGGACCCGCCTGCGCCTTGCAGCTCCTGGGAAGGGCACAGTGCTTTGTGATTCAGAAGATCAGACTTTTTTGCAGGATGAACCCCCATCTCTCCCCAACCACTTTGCCTTTCAGCCCCTTGGCATCTGGGTTCTGCCTACCGCTTCTCAGCGTTTGTTTTGCAGGTTCTTTCCCCCAAAGTCATCGCTTGCTGAGTGCCCAGCCTTTTCTTTTTGAAGTTGAGAACTGGAAAGTGAGGCCCCAAAGGTCCCTGGCTACCCAGGGGACGCCCAGAGCTTCCTTGTTTCCCAGCACTGAGCTCAGCCCCGGGCGTGCAGGTGGGGGGACGAGGACCGCCAGCCGTGCCGGTGCCTGTAGACTCTGGTCTCTCTGCTCTGCCTCTGGGGGCCTCCTCTGTACTGGGTTCATGTTCCGAATGTTGTCCGTGTATCTTACAGGTGCTCAGGCAGGTGAGGTGGGCCTGGCAGTGCCTCTCCTTTATCTTCCCTGCTCTCTTGTTTCGCTGTACCTGTCTTGAACTATGGATTCCTAAAAAGTGTGGTAAAATGAAACATAAACTGTACCATTTTAACGTGTACAGTTTAGTGGCATTGAGTACGTTCATGTTGAAGGTACTTAAACATGAAGGTACTTATATTTAAGTACCTTCACCACCATAATCACTGTTCGTCTCCAGAATGGGTTCATCTTCCCAAACTGAAACTCTGAGCCCATGAAACACTAACTCCCCTTTCTCCCTGCCCCCAGGCCCCAACTACCGCCCACCGCCATTGTGCTTTCTGTCTCTGTGACCTCGACTTCTCTGGGTGCCTCATGTCAGTGGACTCATATAGTACTTCTGCGTTTATGTCTGGCTTCTTTCACTTAGCACAATGTCTTCGAGGGTCACCCTTGTTGTAGCAAGTGCCAGAAGTTCATTCCTTTTTATGGCAGAATAGTATTCCAGCGTGCATGTTTATCCATTCGTCTGAATTACGTATGGACTTCTGTGCCGCTCTGGGCCTTCCTAACTCCATCCTGCCCATTCACTAGTGGCACTGCCATTGGAGACTTGGATGTCCCCAGCCCTTCCGGTTTTATTCTTGTCATTCCGGCATCTGTCCCCCGGGACTGTTCTCCGGGCTCATCTCCCTCCCAGGTTGTCTGGTCTTAGTTTTTCTCTTGTATTTTTGTCCCAGTTGCTCAGTATCGGCTAGTTCTCTGTGTAGCATATTCTGCAACTTTTTAAACGATGAGATATAAATACAAAAGAGTGTCTACAACATGAATAGTTTAAAGAAAAATCATACAATGAACATTCACATCCTCACCACCCAGAGTAAGAACACAGACCATCACCACACTACTAAGCCCCCGCCCCCATGCTCCCGCCCCCACTCCCCTCCCTCTCGCTTCCTGGGTTTGTCTCTCATCCCTTCCCTTCCTGTAGATTTGCTGCAGGCGTCTGTTTCCCTAAATACTCTTTTGTTAGTTTTGCATGTTTGCGAACCTTATATAAATGGAGTTTTCACTCAGTACTGCGAGATGCATGCATGTTAATGAGGTAGCTGGTAGGGATTCTGTTGCAGGACTGTGTTTAAATGTATCTTTGTTGATGGCTGTTGGGGATGTTTTCAGTTTGGGAGTGTTAGAAACTCATGCTGCTTTGAGCCTCCTGGAATTGGTTTCCTGGTGCCCACACATGAGCAAACCTTTCTCCCGAGCGTGCACCCAGGAGCGGAACAGCGGGAGGGGGGTGGGCAGTGCCTTTTAAGAGTGTGGGGATTTTTTTTTCCAGAGTCACAGCAGCATGGTAGGATGTCTGCTGCTCCGTCTTCTCCATCACTGGTTTCTGCACAGCTTCTCTGTTTTGTTTTCAGTCTGATGGGGGTTAGCAGGAACTCCTGTGGGTCCCACTCCCCCCTAGTTACCGGTCAGGTGGCGTAGCTGCATGCCCGCTGATGAACCATCTGCTGTCCCTCCCGGAAAACTCAGTCTGTGACTTTCGCCCTTTTTTTTTTAAGTTGAGTTGTATTTTTCTCTTGTGTCTGGCCCATCCCCTGCTTGTCTGCCGGACCACCTTCCTCTTCCGAGGTAGTAAC